GCCGGCGCGCGCCCCCCGCCCCCGCCCCCCCCCCGCCACTCCGATAGGGTCACAAGGGTGGCGAATCCGGGTGGAAGGGGAGAGCAAAGCGAGCAGAGCTTATACGCACCCCGACGGCGAGGCGCGGTGGGAGGAAGCGCATGCGCAACCTGAAGCACGGGGAGGAAGGGGTGCGTGCGCAGCTAGGACTAACGCATGTGCGCTGTAGAGCTAGCGCTGGGAGCGCGGCACAGACTCGCGCATGCGCAGAGCGAGGGGCGCGCTCGGCTCTATATGGGGTGGGTGACGGCGGTGCCCCAATGCGAGTCAGGCGGCGCGGGCTGTAGGAGGGCGCTCAGTGTGGTCTCGGCGCTGTTGCAGTCCCACCAGGGCTCCGGGTCGGGCGTGACGCGGGGCTGCAGGAGCTGGCTGTAGCGCGCCAGGCTGTCGGCCAGCGCCTGGATGTGCCCGGCCAACGCGCTGAGCGCCCAGGGCGGCGGCGGGGAGCCCACGGCCAGGCCGGGGACTGGGGCCGGGGCGGCGGAGCTGGGTAGAGCTTCGTAAAGGCTCCTGTGGGCGGCGGCGGGGAGGCTGGGGAGGAGCGCGCCCCCCGGCGCAGGAGCCGGCCTCGGCAGCGGCCCCTGCTCTCGCTGCCTGCCGCTGGGCCTCGGGCAGGGCGCAGCTGTGGGGCCGGCTCCGTGCCCCGGCTTCAGGCCCTGGAGATATTGAGCTTCCTCCTCGCTGTGGGGGACACAAAGGGCATGTGTCAGGGGCTGAAGTGAGCACCCCCTGCTGCCATGGCCATCCCCAGACTCCCGGAGAGGCATCATGCTCCCTGCCAAGGGTGAAAAGAGAGCTAACAAGCCAGCACCCGTTTCCCCCTCCAATCTACATGTGCTGCTTGCTCAAAAGGGGGAACTTCTGGAGCAGACTAGAGGCCCTTGCCTCGGAAGTACTTTCATCTGGCATCTGCCATTGTAAATAGCCTGGTGCAGGTGCTAAAGAGAGGCTGCTGGTACATTTTGGCCTTTGGCAGTAACCCTTCCACTCATTCATTCTTGTATTCTCTGTGCTTCCCTGTTCTTCCCTCCATCTGTAACCTCTCTCCATCTGCTGCTGCTTCTGCAGCTGCACCACTCTGCCAGGCTCACCACGTGGAGGTGACACTCCTGGTGTTTGGGGGTGACACCTGTCTTTTGTGATCACCTTATTTCCTCACCGCTTGCCTCACCTTGCTTCAAGTGGCTGCTTGATCAGGCAGGGCTTAGCTCTGCTCTGTGAAGGGCTGCTGGCACTCTGAACCTTATGTAACAGGGAGGTGTCGAGGAAGGAACAACTTTGCAGATTAGGACAAGGAGATGTACCTGAGGCTGACATTAATGCAGGTGATGATCTCCCTTCCATGCTCCCTTGATGCTGTGATTCCCATCCAGGCCCAGCTCAGGTCCTTGCATAGCATGCGAACCATTAAGTGCTGGTGGCAGCTCCCAGGGTCACACACTGAAATCACAAGTACAGAGCAATTGGACTTGGGGCAACAGTACTTATCAGTAACCCTTTCCTGTCCCATGGCAAAAGCACAGGCTGCACACTGTCCCCTAGTATAGGAGTGCTGTGGATCAAACCCAAGCAGCATTTATGATTACCTGAAAAGGAATTTGGCCTGAGCCAAGGGAGGAGCCCGTAGTGGCATACCAGTTAGGTGGCACTGTGCTCATGGCCAGGGAAAATCTGGCTCAATTAACTGAGTCTGCTCCATGTTCTAATTCGAACACTCCAGCATAGGCTTACTGGCATATAAGCCCCCACATGTTTTAAAATGGCTGCAGGGGCACTTTATCTAAACTTTGTTGAATGAAGTTTAGATGAAGCATCCTACAGCTGTTGTTAAATGCGCAGGGGCTTAATACATGTGACAGTGAAGTGTTATAATTAAGTGGCTCTCCAGGAATTGCTCTAATTAAAATCTGCCCCCTCCCCTGATCATGTGCATAGGTAGCTGATATGGTTATGCACATTTTGTGTGAGAGGTGCAAGTGCTGAGGCCTCGCTGGTAGCCTTTCCTTCCTCTTCAGGGTCACCAGGTGCTTGTCCCCACACTACCTGTGTTCTTGGAGGTGTATCACAGCGCAAGTGAATCTTCAGGAGGGATTTAAAGCCACTGAGCAGCAGCTTTGCTGACTGGCTTAAGGAGAGTATTTCATATGTAACGAGCAGTGTGGAAGATTAGATCAATGTTAGTTATAATGTAAAACTGGGTAAATTCTGCTGCTGAAAAACAACATCCCTGCTCCCCCTGGACACACGGGCATTCTTGGCCCAGGTCTGGCACTTACCTAGAGTCTCATGTAAGGCTGCTGCTACACCAATATCTTCTGGGTGTACAAGAGTGTACCAAGATTGACCAATCAGCTCCTCCCTCCGATAGCCAAGGTGATAAACAACACTGAGGAGGGCAGAATAGAACATCATCTCAGTAAACACATTTCTTAGAAATGGTGGTTTGGTACCCTCTGGGGAGGGGAGGGAGCTACACAAGAAATGAGGTGAGATCCATTCACTGGTGTCAGCAGGGGAAAAGACAAGCCCTGGGTATGAGGATCAGGGGAAACAAGCAAAGCAAACTTGTCCATTCTCAGAAGTGTTGGGATGAAGAGGCAAGATCTGGTCTGGTCTGTGTTGCTGATAGAAGTGGGTAGTAATGGGTTTTCTTCCAGGGTACTGGGGCAGAAACGGGGCACTTAGGGATGGGGGAAAGACTCTGTACCTGTAATGTTTATGGGGCAAAGAGTATGCCTCCCAGTAAGAACCAGCTTCAGTATGGATGCTGGCAGTTATTAATTCACTGGAGTGCGGTTGCTCTCTTGAGTACTGGCTGCTTTCCCCAGGATTTAGTCAAGGTCATGCCAAAACCAGCTCTCCTTACCTCTCTGTAACATCAGACATTCTCATGTTCAATGTGTGTTGGCTGTAGAATGGGACATCGTTGGATGCATCATGCCCATCTTCCAAGAATTGTGTGATGGGAGTGCAGAAAGCAATAAAAGTTAAAATGGAGGAGGTGGGTACTCTGTTCAGAGCAAGGAATCGCCCCCTCACAGCCACTGCCCGATTCCCTCCATATTTCATTCGGAAGGACCTGGATGTGCGCATTTCACTGACAAATGCAATTTCTGCAATGAAAATCATCGTGTAGATTGTTAGCACCTTCTGTCTAGGGCAGAGCTTTCCAAACTTTTCATGTTGGTGACACACTTTTTAGACATGCATCGTTTCGCGACACAGTAATTCAGTTCCGGGGGAGGGGCCAAGGGAAGCAGACACGAGTAAGGGAGCTCTGCGGTGCCCTTCCGCAAAATTTTCTGCATTTTGCGCGACACCTACACACTGCTGCCGACACACTAATGTGTCACGGCACACAGTTTGGAAAGCTCTGGTCTAGGGAGTGAGCTATTGCCAAATGCATACCCCATATTGTCTGATCAGGGATCTCCCTTTGGTGAAGCAGCTGCCCTTCCCTGGCCCAGGCATAGTTAAGGGACTCCTAGCAGCAGACACATGGGTCAGCAATAATTATGGCATGACTCAGTGAGGTGCTGTTGGCTGCATGGGCACAGCCTACACAGTGTGGCACACATGCCTGGTAAGGCATTTCCTGCCCTCTTCCCAAGGATGAGGTATGTGGAGCTAAGCATTCTTTCTGGCCTGCTTGTGCTAGCAGTTCACAAAGAACACCAGCCTCAGGAATCTTACACCAATCTCTTGGGAATTTTCCAGTGGCAAATTAGAGGTTGACTACTTCCCTCTCCACAGTTTCTCCTGAGTTTCCCACTAAGGATCCCATAAGATCTTTCAAAACCACCAGCAAAGCACTGAGACTGAGAGCTGTAATTGTACCATAGGATAAGTACCCAGAAGGCAGTGCAGCTGAACTGATTTAACTTTACAGAAGCCCAGTGAAAGCACAAGTTCTTTAAAAAATAATTTGCTATGAGTGTACTGAACTGCTGGGTTTCTGATTCTAGGATGGACCAGCTCCAGCATTCATGGGAAGTGGAATGTACCCAGAGGCTTTCAATCTCCACTTGACTCCAAGCTTGGGTGGCAATTGCTGCAAGTGGCTTATCTTTTTAAAACTTTCCTTCAGAAAGTAATTTTTGCAGATCAGGGCCTAATGCAGTGACTCATCCCTGTCGCATAGCCTCATGTACATGCCTACTTTCAGCCACGCAGGCAGGGTGCCATGTATAGCCCTTTACCCAGGACCTCTTGAGCATATATTGACAACATTTTATAGAAGCAGGACATTGGCTGCTATGGTTTCCCTCCTTTACCAGTGGCAGGATAGGATATTAGGTCTATGTTGTGTCAGGTTTGATGGTAGTCTTATGTAGAATTTAGATAATGGTTTATATGGGATGTTCTGGATAGGGATGATCCTGCCTCAGGCAGGGGGTTGGACTAGATGACCTCTGGAGGTCCCTTCCAGCCCTATATATATGGCAATGCATACCCTGTTCTGAGCCCTGTTTGGCCTTACCAGTGCCTGGCTGTTCTTGTGCAGCATGCAGCTTCTTCTGCACAGTCTCATGTGCTCTGTTGTCCAGGAGGTCAAAGATTGAGTCTCCCTGGGCTAGCAGCTCCACCTGAAGGAGATGGCAAAAAGAAACTTTATTAATGCAGACCCAGCCTGGTTCTACAGTGGACCAGAGGACCTAGAAGGACTGGTGTCCAGAACAATCAGTGTCTGCAAAAGTTGGTGGGAGCTCTCTGGGAACAGGGATGCCCACTGACAGTATGGGGCATACACCCTCAGATTCTGGAGCACACAGGAATGGATGAATGAGTTCCAGATCCAGACTGGCACAAAAGACACCAGGGACTATGGTCATCAGGGGACAAGCACCATTGATGGGTTCAGAAGTTGAGCTAGTTGGAAAATTCCAATTTGTCAAGCTAGCGGTTTCTTTTTGGAGGCCAAGGAGACCTAAAACAGTCAGTAGCCCATTGATAAGGGCTCTCACCTGGGCCATGGGAGACCTAGGTTCACACCCTTTCTCTTTCTGATTCAGACCAGAACCTTGAGTTTGGGGCTTCCCCATCCCAGGTTAGTACCCTAAACCGCTGGGCTGCTGCTGGATGTCTCTTTAAACTCAGGATGTTTCATCCTACTATAAAATATGAACAGTGTGGCAGAACAGGAAAACAGTTTATTACCCATTAAAATTGAGCAGACCAGTGAAATGAATGGAAAAATCCAGGCAGCAGCTGAGCTAGAGGCAAAGAGCAGTCCTCAGCTATGCAGCAGGTTGAGCTGTCACCTCAACACATACAGCCCATCAGAACACTTCTGTGTTGTCAAAATCAGTAGCTTCAGCCATCGACAATCTGCCTGGCTGATGGGATGGAAGGCAGACAATAGAGGCCAGAGGGAGTGATTCTGAATGTTGCAGTTGCTGCTGGGCACATGTAATCACACAGATCATTGAGACTAGGAGAACGATGCCGTTATCTCGGGTCACCACTGTCCTAGGAAATCAGCTGAAGCCAACACTGAACAAAACTCATGCCAGCTGATGCTTGGTGCAGCACTGCATTGGAAGAAGAACAAGCATTGACTTGCCATAGGGATGTAGACAGAGACAGAGCTGGTGCTTTAGGTCTACAAAAAACTCTGTTTACCACTGAGAAGCCCAGGATCTGGGTTATATTTTCAGAGATGTAGGCCAGCTTGCCATCTGCAGAGAGAGCAAGGATGAACCCTGGCAGCAGGGACAGGAGATCCAGGTCTGGCATCACAGCATTGGTAATGGCAGGTCCCGCTGGCGTACATGGACCTGCAGAACAAAAAGAGGAGGATTGAGTTCTCACTGTATCTCCTGGATTACCAAGTTTACCAAGAGCAGGAAGCCATGTGCTGGGGAGCTTTGCACCCTTCATGCATTCTACACCCTCCAGGGCTTTCACTAGACACACATGATCTTTTTTGTTGTAGTAGTGCTTGCAGGTTCACGTATGTGTGTGTGCATGCATGCACATGTAGAGCTAATCTCTATCCTGTGGTTTTACCATCTAGCCATGGCAAGTGAGTGAGTGTAATACAGCCAGAGTAATCAATGAGGATAAGGGTGTCAGCAGAAATACTGATGGTGCAAATGTCCTCGCAACAGTGGTGGCAGATGCAGTAGGAACTCCACCTGAAGGAGAGCACCAGCCCCTGGCACTTAGTGGGGATATCAAAATGGCAGTTGCCCAGGTAGTCTCTGCCATAACAACAGCAGCTGGGTTGCATCTGGGTGCAGGGACACTGTGCTACTGCTGCAGCAGCAAGAACCAGGATGGACAGAGCAGACCTGCTCTAGCACTACCAACTAGGGACTCTAAATCCCCAGAATAGGTAATACCCCTGTTCTATGCTCTGCACTTGGCACCTCCTTCCTTCCAGTGCTCAGCAGCACTTCCTTGCCTCCCCAGCCCCCCATAGCCATTCTTCAGCATAGCTTTGCTTAAGGCATAAACCCTACTAGTTAGGCCTCTAAGCAGAAGCAGGGAGCTGTGGAAGGCTGTCCTAATGTTGTATCTGTCTGCTCTTTTCCCAGCATTTCCTCCCTTTGCCCCAAGAGCCCACTCCGTCTGTGGGGTCTGTCCTGTTAAAATGAGCATTGCTGTTAGGCCACCCATGACTCACATCTACCAGCTGGGCAGATGTTGCCTGCTAAACCAGTCCCACTGCTGAGCCAGTTGCTTTCTGTTGCACATATCTAACTCCCCTTGGTGTGCTCATGGAGCTACACAGAGCTAAACATAGTGTCCCTAGAGGAGCCATGCCAGAGACACAGAGGGACACCAGCCCCCCTCAGCTCTATGATGTGAGGAGAAAAGGAAGAGAGCTAGGGACCTGTTTGTAGGTAAGGAGTGGTGTCTGGTGGTATTTGTCTCCCTGACAGGAGGCGTATCTGCAGGGGAGTGTGGGGAGCAGCCCTTGTGCAGGATTGGTTGTACCTGTGTGAAGCAGACATGAGGCCTTATGAGGTGGCAGAGGCACTGGGAGCTAGAGATCAGTCTGCAACAGGCTTGGATTATGGCAATCAGACCAGACTGTGCAAGACAGGGACTAATAGCAGCAAGATGAGATGTTTACCTGGAGGAAAGAGCTGTGACCCTCGGATCTGAAGACAGACCAGAGCCATGGTGTGGAGGTAGGAGAGCCGCTCCTTTTCTTGCGCAGAGAGGGGCAGCAGGGAGCGCAGTGTCTGAAGCTCAGCATTGATTAGATCCCGACGAGCTTTAGAGGCGCCCTTCGTTGACCTGCACCAAACCAGAGGGTTAGAATTAACAGGGAAAGGCCCCACTCCCCCAAGGGGGAGTCCCACGGGGGGAAGGGGGTTGCAATTTCCTATTTGTTTCCCAGTGTAGTTGTTCCTCCTGGTGAAGAGCAAACAGCAGTGGCTTCTACTTCCCTCCTTCTACAGAAAAACTCCCAGTAATGATGAAATCTGTGTCCTTGTGAGCACGGACATTCCCATCCCCAGGTCAGACTCATGAAGTGCAGCTTTCTGCCTGGGTATTTCACGTAAACCAATCCAGGGAACCTCTGCCATGTTCCTATAATGATCAGTCACCTAGGGCAGACAGCTTGACAGAAAGCTGCACAAAGGAGCTGCTCCCATGGCAACCAAAGCCTTGAGCTTCCAGCCTCAGGATTTTACAGTCTCCAGATTTACAGTGTCCTGAATCTTTCTTCCTTTTGTTCAAAGCAGATGAGGAGGAGTGCAGCCTGACAATCACCACAGCCCTGTCCCCTGCCTGGGACACATCACCTGTAGCTTTTTCACCTCCACCAGTGCTCCCCTGGGGGGAACACCCACCAGACACACCTCACCCAACCACAGACCTAGAAGGGCAGTACCAGGGCATAGGGTGGCATAGCCCACTACCCCAGCCAACACGAGAGCTCAGAGGCAAGGGGACCACACAACCTATGCCACACAAGAAGCACGGTGGCCTGTGCATGTTGCAGTGGGTGGGGGTGTCTGTGAGGGGCTGGGAACACTTTGCTGCTTGCAGTGCTGGTTCAGTGCATATTTGTGGGCTGAGCAAGTCCCCATGTTCATGAGCTTCTCATTCCAGGCTAGGCTGTAGTCCATATAAAGTCCTGAGCTGGATCTTGGCAGACAATGCAAGCATGCATGTAGCTTGGCCTAGGTATGCTCTGCCCCTGAGTATTAGACAATAGTCCTGCCCTGGCAAAGGAAGCAATCTCTTTACTGAGGTATCTGAACAGCTGTGTGACCCCTGTGATACCAACAGCACGCAATGGGCCCACAAGCCTCAGGTACTAATCCTGGTCTGATATGATGAAGCAGAGCTCAGTACATGCCATCCTCACAGGTTTTAGATACCCATGCCAGCCCCCACCTCAGAGTGGTGGGCTATGGCTTAGCCTACAAAATAAAAGCTTTGCTTGTACAGCTAGAGCAACATGGGACATATGGCCTGGAAAGTGCTTTCCCCAGTGTGTAGTATGTTATGCCTGCAAAAGCACTTGAACTGGAATAAGTACATCTGTACCCAGACTTTTGCCAGCACAGAAAAGTCACCAAAAGGACTTCACCCTGTAACTGCCACTGCCACTGCAACACTGACAAGAGGTTCCAGTGCTGACCTGGCCACACAGCAGGATAGCTTGGAACAAGCTTATCAAAGAAGGCCCCCAACAGATGCCTGACTGGCTACTGCTGCAGACAGAAGGACAGTACAATCAGCTTAATGTCCTGAAGCAGCAAAGTGAGGTCAGGGATGGAGAAGGGAGACGCTGCCTGAATTATGGTGAGTGGTCTCTAGTTGGAGAAGCTCAGAGGGTTACTGCTGCAAAAAACTGAAGCTGCTACAAGCCTTTTGTCACTGTCCTGGTCTGATGGTAGTTGTGCCTTCTCTAGTTGTTTGTGCCAAAAGAAGATCTCATTGCCATATCAAGACAGAGGCCAATGCAAGAGACATTCCCTCCAGAAAGGCCTGAGCGATGAAGTCTAGGCACTAGAAAAAGCAACTGTTCCAGAAATGCCATGAGGTGTTTTTATCTGGGCAGGCTTTTAGCAAGAGAGGTTAAGTTTGTGGATCTTGACGTTCATTACATGTTACTCTATTTTAATATTTTATCTGCTTTTTACCATGTATCTTGTTTATTATTGTAAGCCACCCTGAGCCTTTTCTAATAAACAGGAAAATTAATAAAAAAATAAAAAACATAGCTTAAACCTTAGCTTGGTAAGTCCTCTTTGCTCTATGGACCCAACTTACCACCATACCCACACTCTCCTCATCCCTGCACACCCTATTCCTGGTGCCCTAGTCCTGGCAAGCTCAGACTGAGTCACAGATTCATTTTGTGGCCCCAAGCCTGTATTCAACAATTCACTGACAGTCTCCGTTCACTCTCCTCCCCACCAAATACAGTACTCCCAGATGTTTCCTTGCTAGCAGATAGCACTAAGGGAGGATGGGCTGGCAGGTTGGCCCCATTGAAAAACTTTGGAAACTCATGCCAGACAATACGGAAAAGTATAGCAGGGTCCTGCCCCAGTTATCTGGAAGGCAGAAGCCAGAGGAGACAGCAGCGTGATCTCTGACCTGAATGGCTTTGAAGTGTTGGGCACCAGCCTGGTTCTTCCCCAGGGGCGGTTCATCTCCTTCCTCAATGGCCTACTGCAGCAGTCACAGAAGATGGTCATTGTCCTGCATGAAGAAACCAACATGCCAGAAGAGCAGGGCAGGGTATGGGTCTATGCCCTGTGAAGAGCAGCAGGTGAGCTGCTGCCAGTCTTCCCACGAGGGGAAGACAGCTCCATCACTGATTCATAAGCCTGGTTGCCAAATGGGACAAGGCTTCCATTTAGAGATCAGCAGGAGACAGCATCCACCACCCACCAGGACTCCACTCTGGTCCAGGTGCAGCCTTCAGGGACCAGTGACACACCAGCTCCTTGCTGGGTAGAACATGTGGTCAAGGCCTTGACAGCACCCAGAGCAACACCTTTGCACCTACACCTGGGTATTAGAGCCCCGTGGCTAGGATATCAGCCTCTGGCAAAATGCCTCTTACCTTCTTCCGCTCTGGCTCAGTCTGAACTTGCTGACCCCCTCGTCCTCTCTGCCTCCTTTTGTACCCCCCCTCCTGGGGGTCTGGGGGCCCAAACCAGGCCAAACAGGGGATACAATTACCTCTTGTGACGCAATTCTAAACAGCTTGGGGCTATTTTTAGAAAGCAGGCTTCTAAAAATAACCCTCTGCAGCCTGGCTGCAATCTGATAGGGGAAGCAATAAAAGGAAGCCTGGTTCTTTAAAACAAACCTGTCAGTTCAGCAAGGGGGCCATGCTGGTGGAGCACGGCAGTCAGTTGGCCTCTTTCTCTCACACTGTCCATTCTGGCGCCTTTGGGTTCCATTCTGTCTTGGGTCACCCCCTCCTTAAGTGACACCACACATGAGGCCCCACCTGGGCCCAGGTCTGCTCAATTAGCTCTTCTTTGTCACCAAAGCAAAATGTCTGGGACAGAGCCAGAACCCAGGATGTCTAGAGAAGTGGCACTATTACGTGCTGGGTTTTTAATCTTAGGGATCCTGTGCTGCCTGCTCTCTCCCTGCTAGGTGCGAGCTGTTCAACCCTGTTGGGGCTGTCTCTGCAGTCTCTTCCCCAGGCTCTCCATTGGATGGGTATCCTTGTACTGCTAGCAATTAGCAGCAGTTGCCGTATTACCTGCCAGAGAACTGGCCCGCATGTGGACACCTCCTCTTAGCTCTTCACCCAGCTCTCCTGTGGAGAAGGAATCTGTCACTGGCAGTGGCATGGGGAGTGCCTAATGAACATTCATGGCACCAGACTTCAAACCAGCTCAGCAGCAGTCCCCAAACACTGGTCGCCACAATCTACTCTGCTCTGCAAGTTCCTGCTGGGCCCTGCTTAGAGCAGCATCATCAGGTACAGAGGCTGCCATGCATCGTGGGAACTGCAGCCCAGGCCTGGAGTCTTCTGGAATCAGGGCTGATGTAAGGAGGTGACCTCAGCCATGACAAGTCTGACTTTTGGCCCCCAGCCCTGTTCTGGGCAGCCCCAGTTGTCCTACGCCCTCTTCTAGCTCTGTTCCCACAGCTCACTTCCAGAAGGTACTAATCTAGCTATGGCAGTGGTGTGGGACTTCTTTGCCTGCAGGGGTAATCGTGTAAGCTCCAGTGATGAGGCTTTCTAAGCAGCTGAAGGACTATGGCATCTAATGTGTATTAAAGAGCTGGAGCACTAGAACTGGCCCATGAGGAGCCTTGCTCTCGAGGACAAGCTGGGGGGCCAGGGTTGGGCAGAAGGGACTGGCAAGGCAGAGATCATGTTCCACGATGACAACACACCTGCCATTCCTACCCTATTGCTGTCACTTGCAAGGGGAGGATTTTTCCTTGGCCTCTGTGTGGCCTGCTCCATTCCTCTTCCTTGGCCTCAGGTTCTGTGCTGCTTACCAGGCACCAGGTGCTGAGCGTCCTTCCCTAGCACACATCCCAGTGAAGGAGGGAGGGAGGCATGGACATCTCCAGTGGCTCACCACTCCAGCTGTGTGCATGTGGGCAGCTGCTGTGCTAGCCATTCTCTAGGCTGTAGTCCTGGCCAGCCTGAAGTCTGGGCTAAGCTCCTACCTCTCTGGCTGCAAGTGGGACACCAGGTCCCCAGCTTCCCCAATCCTCTTCCTCTTTCAGTCCCATGCTGCTGTATGTAGGAAGCGTGTCTGGAGTCCAACCAGTGCCTTGTTGGGGTGGGACAGGAATTGGGAAATGAGAGGCAGGGTAGTGTGCAGGGCCCAAAAGCAGGATAGTGTTTGTGAGGAGCTATGAGATTCCCAGTGGGAGATGCTGAATTCTAGGACACTGCAGAGAAACACCACAGCGAAAGAGAGGGGGCCTGGAGGGAGCCCAGCGGCACTTCACACTCCTTGGAACTGCCATTGCAGGCTCTCGGCAGACTCGGGCAGCTGTGCACCTGTAGCACTCAGGTCTGGGCTCTGAGGTTCTCTTCATCGAGAGATGGGCACTGAGCACTCCCAACCTGCAGCTGTGTCCCAGCTGTGGAATCGCAGGCGTGGCCAAAAGGGACAGACACAGTAGGCCTTTCTGCTCTAGGCTGGGGGATGAGGGACAGGGCAGAAGCATTAGCTTGGTATCAAGCTAATGTAGAAGTCTCAGGTGACGGAACCTCTTACCTTGCCAGCAGAGTCTATTTTACAGCCCAGCCCAGCTCACTAGCTAGGACATCTCTCCTTCCCTCACTCTCTTCCCTTTTCTCACTGCTAGTCCTTCCTCAACCATGCCCTCTCCCTGGCCTTTACCGCATTCAGGTATTTAGGATTATCCCATTCCCCTTCAGTGTCAGAAGGCCCAGACCCAGCTTTCAGGTCACAGTACAGGCCCAGCTGTTCCCACAGGCTTATGTAGTAGATGGGGGTGGGGTGATTTGCATGGAGTGGGGTGTGGACTCAGCCCACATGCCCCAGGGACCACAGTCCTGTCTCTCTGGGCTCAGCTTCTAGTCTCTCCAGGTTCCCGAAAAGCTGTTTCTCTGAACTCCTGCTGTGGCCCAGCATTTCCTGGTTTCCCCAAGGGAGATGTTTCCCATGTCTCTTCCTCCTTCTGTGACACACACTTCCTCCACCAAAAAAAACAAGCAACATGGGACCACCAGGAAGAAGCCAGAGCTAAGCTAGTGCCACATCTCTTGCCTTGAGGGAAGGTCTTGGACTGTACTACCTTGAGATAATTAGCATCTCCAAAGTGCCTAGGCCTACGGATGCAGTGCAGATCAAACAAACTGAAAGCAACAGAGAATGAGAAGCATGGCTTCCTTGTGCCACCAGCCCTCCAATGACCTGCTATGCACTTCAATGCAAACGCAGATGGCGTTTTGGGGATTAGCATCAGTGCCAGAGGCAAGCAAGTGGTGCATATAGGCAGTGCAAACAGCTGAACTTAAGATGATTGTACAGCATTCAAAAGCAGAGATCCTGACAGGAAGAAAAGGTTCTAGTAGCTTCCTTTTCTATGCTGTCCTTGCACTTTCTAGGCAGGGGAAGCATTTGATAACAGGCACAGCCCTGGCAGACCATCCCTGGCCTGTCCCAGGGGCTGGCAGAGTCCTAATCATCTTTCCCCATTGTAGAAGCACTCTTTTGGCTGCAGAACTGTAGTGCAAGTACTCCTGGCTGTGGCAGTGGCTCCAGGCAGCAGCCAGCCAGAAGAAGGCATGAAGCTAAGGCTGGTGGAGTTTGCAGCAGACATACAGTGGAAGATGGAAGAGCAAAGCACACACAGGGAGACAAGGGACAAGATCTGAGTAGATAACAGGGGAAGGAAAGACAGTCACAGATGCGTGGGCTGGAGTGAGGAGCAGGCAGTGGGTGTGTGCAGAAGGGTTAATTTCCACTCACCAATCCTTAAGGAGGGACTCCATCAAAAAGACAAGGCAGTGGCAGGCTACTTGTGAGGGATTAGCGGTAAGAGTAAGTACCAGTAAGGTACTTCCAAGAGTCAAGGCTTCTCTGCCTTTCTCCCACTTGCAGAGAATGCACCTGTCTCTGTCAATGATCCAGCTCTGCATGGGGCTCCTACGGTGTGAGCTCAGAGTGTTCAGCACATTAGTGCTGGCTATTCTCCTTCTGGGGGAAAGGGATGCAACTCCACATCTAATAAAAACCTGCCCCTCACCAAGCCCTGCATCTCTGACCCCAGACAGCAACCAGTGCAGCCTTCTTTTTCAGTAGTGACCTGCCTACTCCACAGCATTCTGCCCTGCACAACTCCATGGTTCCCACTTCCCTAGCGGGCAAGTTCCTTGGCCAAGTACAAATGGATCAAAAATAATTTTAGTAGATTACAAGGCCAGGAGGAACAATTCTGACTATCTAGTCTGCCCACACTGCAGATTCCTACCCAGTGACCAGGACCACCGCTTGTGGGTGGCACCTCTGTGCTCTCTTCTACTCAGTGTGCCTGCCCTTTTGCAGCTGTCTTCTGTATAGCGTATTTCCACCAGCTAGACTCCCTATCTCAGTTAAAGGACTGAAAGCAACAGAGAAGCTAGACAAATTGCAGGATTGGACCAAAAGAAATCTCACAAGGTTCCATAAGGACACATGCAAAGTCCTGCACTTAGGACAGAACAATCCCATGCACTGCTACAGGCTGGGGACTGACTGGCTGGGGAGCAGCTCGACAGAAAAGGACCTGGGAGTTACAATGGACAGTAAGTTGAATTTGAGGTGACGTGTGCCTTTGTTACCAAGAAGGCTAACAGCATACTGGGCTGCATTAGTAAAAGCATTGCCAGCAGACTGAGGAAAGTGATTCTTACCTTCTAGTCAGCACTGGCGAGGCCACATCTGGAGTACTGTGTTCAGTTTTGTCCCCCCCCACTAGAAAGGATGTGGACAAGTTGGAGAATGTCCAGTGGAGGGCAAAAAACGTTTTGGAGCCTGGGGTACATGACTTATGAGAAGAGGCTGAGGGAACGGGGCATATTTAGTCCAGTGGACATCGAGAGGGTTCAGAGGAGGGCCACTCGCATGATCAGGGGGCAGCAGGGCAGACCGTACGAGGAGAGGCTACAGGACCTGAACCTGTTCAGCCTCCACAAGAGAAGGCTGAGGGGGGATCTGGTGGCCATTTACAAACTAGTCAGAGGGGACCAGCAGGCATTGGGGGAGTCCATTCCCCCGAGCACTCTCAGGAGTGACAAGAAATAATGGTCACAAGCTAGCAGACAGTACATTTAGACTAGATATCAGGAGGCGCTACTTCACTGTCAGGGCGGCTAGGATCTGGCACCAACTTCCAAGAGAAGTGGTGCTGGCTCCTACCCCTGGGGGCATTAAAAGGAGGCTACACGAACACCTTGCTGGGGTTGTTTGACCCTAGTACTCTTCCTGCCATGGCAGGGGGTCGGACTTGATGATCTGCTCAGGTCCCTTCTGACCCTACCTACCCTACCAACTATGAAAGTATGAAACCCTAATTTTCTAGGATTCTAAGATAACAAGTGCCTTCACAATCTGCCCAAAGACAAATTACCTTCAAGGTAGCCACTAGCCTTTGTCCCTAAATTCTAATCCCAGCAATTACTGACCTGGACCAAGTAAGCCTGACCATACAATGTCACCACCTCCTTCCTGGAGACACTTGCCATTGCATGCATCTTTGTTGAATGTGCTTTGCTTTCAGGTGTGCCATCCTGGTCCATTGTTCACAGGCCCTTTCTGGGTGCCGAAGAAACAAATCCCACAGAAAGCACATATAACTGCAGCTCAAATAGATGCATCCTCTCCCTCATGAGGTTGGCACTTCAATAGAATGCCAGGGCTGCCCTGTTAGCTGTACTGTAGTCTAATTTCTCCTCCCACATATCAGCAGTGTCCAGCTTCTTGACTGCTTCAGTTACGTCAGTAAAGTTCCTCCACCTCTCTGTCCCCTGCACTCAGCATTCCATTCTCATCTTAACAAGTCATTCAGCAGCATGCCCTTGGGAGGGAGATTTCAATTACATGACAGGGTAGAGCAGGAAGGAAAGTGCTGCTACTTTTCACCTCCATCCCCAGAGGGGCTGCTCAGTGGCCTTCATTCCCCTCTGCCTGTGGAGGCCAAATGAGCTTGTCATGTCAGCACCTCCCCTCAGTACCTCCAGGGCTAAGAAACCTCTTAAAGTCCAGCTCCACTTCTCTTCTGTGTTCCTTCACCATCCCCACTTCTCTGGGCCATTCTCCACCAGAATTCCCCTTCTCACTTCTGGGGCTATGACTCATCTCAATCCTAATGCAGCCTCCAAATCCCTGCTTTAGCCCACTGTGGCCCATGCTCGCTTGCCACTCTCTAGTATAGTAGATCCAAAGCCCCAGAGTGTTTTGCTGCCCTCTCGTCTCATATGGTTGTGAAAACACAAACACTCCATCGCCCCCCACAGAAGAAGGCATGGAGTGCCCCCCCCCAGGTCGTTTGTTGAAAGATGCAATGCAAGGTCAATGGTTTAACACTCTACCTCATTTGTGTTTTTCCCATTGGTCCAGTGCTGACATCTTTGCCTTCTCTCATGTCCTCCCTGGGAAATCAAAACACCCTCCCCAACTCCTACTGCCTGGATCAGCCCCTGCGCACCTCTCACTTTGACAGGGACTCATCATGTGCTTGTCCAAATGGCATAATGTTCTTGTCACTGCCAAGCAGCTGCACAAAGACCAGGCTATTATAGACCAGACATCTCTTCGGAGAATCCAGGGGTCATGTCTTCTAGCTCTAGTATGACCATGCGTCCCAGCTTGGCTAGGAGTCCTGGATTTCAGAGGTCGGCCCTAGCTAGTTGGGGAAAATTAAAACGAGAGTTCCAGGCACAGGGTTCAGTCCAGCAGGGAGGTGGAGCAGCATTGTGTTCCAAGCAGCTCTGCCTCCCCACTGGCCTCTGCCACTGTATGCAGCAGCACTGTTGACTTGGGGGAAAGGGGTAAGGGGAGGGGGGCCAGTGTCCCAGATGTCCTGGATTTCCTTTTGGTCACCCTTACTTGCTCCCATCACAACTTGTCCCCTTCACACAAGAGCTGGCTCCAGCAGGGGCTTTGGTTTCCCCCTCCCCCCAGCAGTGGTTCTGTACCTGCACAGACAAGACAATGCAGACTCAGGGGTTTGCTTTAAATATTTATAGAAATCCAAACTGTTGTTTACACATGGAGCTGTACAAAGGCACCTCAGCTCCTGAGCCAGCCCTCTTCCACCAGGCAGAGACGTCCCTGTTGTGTTCTGTATCCTATACAAACGTTGGATGTAGAAGTTCCCTCTCTGTCTGCCCAGCAGGCAGGATTCTTCATCCTCATCAGGCCCTCCTCTCCAGTGAAGGCCCTGGAGCTCAGGGATGCAGATACCCCCCACCATAAAGGTGCCGCTCGATAACAAAGTTTTGTGTGTTTCTCAGACAGCAGAGGGTAAAACCAGACAGGATCTAAAGTGTGGATGACTAGGCACAGACACCTGTGCCCAGGGGAGCAGGGTGCTGTAGAAGGCTGAGCAAGAGAACTTGGTCTAGCAGCAGTCTGTTCAGCCACTGGACTGATGACAAGGATGCTGGGGAGGCAGGAGCAGAGTTGTTGCTGTGCTGGCCAGTACTCCAGAAGGAGGTGAAGAACAGCATGGTCCTGAAGTCAGCTACCATTGAGGAAGGGCTAGTTCAAGTTGGATGCTGCAGTGAGAACAGCAGCAGATGGACATAGGCCACTGCTGTCCACAGCAAGAGCAGTACTGGTTTCCTTTTCCTTACAGCCTGCTGTTCCATTCTGCCTTGCAGGAGCATGGATGATAAAACTGTGGCAAGGGTGTGGCGAGGCTGGTGTGGCACAGAACAAGAGCAGAGAGCATGAATGATTTTTTTCCTGAAGGGGCTAAAAGTCTGTGCAGAAACCTGGAACAGGTCAGTCTGCAAGGAGGGGTTGAGGGGGAAGGACAGGCAGAGATGGGGAAAAGGATGCTGGATTAACCCTGGGAGGAGACAATTGGACGGCTGATGGTGCTGTTTGTAGTCATTGCTGTCAGCTCCCATCTACAAGAAAAAAGATTGGGAAGAGAACTGAAAAGAGACTTCCAGTTTTCCCGTTCAGGTGCCAAAAGTCACCTTGCAACCAGAACAGTTCCCACAGGCCTGTCCTGCTCATCACCCAGCCACCGGGCATGGAGTAGCAATAGACAAAGACAAAGGCACATGTCAACCTCATCACCTGCAGTACCTCTTCTCCCAGGCTCTGAGCTGAGGCAGGTTTGGGTGTCAATCTATGGGGACCTGTAAGAGACCCCAGATTACCACAAGTGTTTTGGGAGGACAGGATTTGTTAGCAGTGAAATGGGGGCCATCACAGTGAGGTGTATGGGTTCTTGAGGTATCCCCAGAAAGTGTCCAGGGGTACAGTCCAGAAGGAAGCACCTGGGGTGCAGTGCTTGGACTCCCCACTCAGCTGCAGACCCATTGGGAGAGCTTCCTAACTGGGTTTAGCTTACACAGAGCTTGGGTCTGCGATCCTGTGCCCAAGAATGCTGGCACTCCTGGGACGGCAATGCCTCCTCAAAGCTTGTCAAAAGGCCTGCACCCAGGCTGCAGTCTGAAGGCTGGAGCAAAACACTACCTGTCTTGTTATTACAGTAGAAGTCCTACCTGATATCATGTGGGAGGCAGGACTGGTCCAGGCTATACTGAATCACTGCTAGTTTACACAGAGTCTTCAAGCTGGGGCCTATGGACAGAAGCACATAGTGGTTAGAGGCTGATGATAACTATGGAATACATACTAACTTCTGCCCAGGGGCAAGGTCAAGCATCAGCTCAACACCCAGTGAACTGCTATGGGAGGGCACCTTGCAGAACAGCCTTATGGGCTAGCCCTCCAGTTTGAGGGCCAGCCAGAGGCTGCACTTTGAGCAAGCGCTAGCTTGCTGGGTTGAACCACTTGTAACCAAAAATGCAGTGAGAAGCGGTAAACTTGCTCACAGGGTCCACAATTTTAAGTACAAACTCAACTTCCCAGTGTTAACACCCAAGGCAAACTTCTCAGGAACATGAAGTAGGTAGGGACTGTAATGGAACCTGTGCAATTCTGGAAGATCAAACTGCTTATTTTGGTGCCAAAATATCTAAGTTGGAGCTAGCTTTCAGAATCCAAGTTTGAGAATTGGTCTGGAACGGGCTCCCAAGGGAGGTGGTGCTCTCCCCTACCCTGGGGGTCTTCAAGAGGAGGTTGGATATGCATCTAGCTGGGGGGGGGGGGCATCTAGCCCCAGCACCCTTTCCTGCCTATGCAGGGGGGCGACCCTAACATCTATGAATCTATGAATTCTGGTCCAGATGGCCCCTATGGGCATGAGGCAGGAGCCACAGTGAAGAAGTGCTTACGTACTGAAGTCCAGGATGTAGAGGTCTGAGTGATCCATCAGGTCAAATTCATCCCCCATTCCCTCCTCTGGAGATGGGCTGCGGGAACCAAGCAAAACTGGTCAGACCGCAGCAGTACCTGGTTTTGTGAGTGTAATGCTGCTCTTCCAAATCTAGAGGGTTTGGGAAATTTTCATAGGACCCCCTATGACTTACCATAAGAAGGAACTGCACAGCAGAAATGGGTTCATTTTCCTCTGGACTCTAGCCCAGTGGTTTTCAGGCTTTCTAAAGTCTCGGAACCCTCTCATATAACTTCTTCCACCATGGAACCTGTACCCCTACACGGAGCCAGGTGACCCAGCTCCACAATGGCAATGCACCCCTCCTGGCCCACTCCGTCATCGCCCCTCAATCTCTTTGTGGAACCCCATGACCGATTGTAGAGTCCCAGGGTCCCCAGGGTTCAATGGTACACTTTGAAAACCACTGCTCTATCCCCTATGTAGCTTTCATCCTCTCTGTTCGTAGGAGGTAAGCCATATCCTGGGGATTGACAAAAGCCACTTCCATGTAGCGATCCCTGGTAACATCTCTGATGGCCAAGAACTCCTGAATCAACAAAAACATCAAAGTGCACAAAGATGTGGACCCCATTTACATAATTTAAACCATGTCCTGAGGCCTCCTTCTCAATCTCACCCTCCAGCATTGTTTCATTACTTTTACTACAACTTTTTTCTTTCTAGGCTGTGCCTGGGGTTCAATTGCCTTTCCATTCACTTATCTCAGAGGAGCTTTATTCATTAGCTCTTTCTCCAGTCCATCTTGCAAATCAAGGTTCCTGAAAATTTTGGCAATGGCCCTCTTCCTCCACACCCCTCAGGTGATCACATGGATTTCCAAGTCATTTCTGTGTGATGGTGATGGCCGTGATGCCCTGCCGTGGCTGTGTGGCTCCTGCCCTACTCATCTCTAATGTAGCCCTCTCAACTGCTTGCCTACCATGCCTTGTTGTTACTGAGGTTAAATAAGGGAGGCTGCCCATGTTCCTTAGAGTGAGCCGGAGCCCAATCATCTCCTCAACAGGACCCTACTAGTCTCAATCCAGCCCTTATGCTAAAGAGGCCCTCTTGGCCTGGCTGTGCCCCTGCAGGTCACCTACAGCCTTACGGGCAAGTTGTGCAGCACTGTTCCTCCCCTACACCATGCCCCAAGCCTTGTGGGTGTTAGCACTTCAGATATTAGTTTCTCTTAGCCCCTCTTGGGACTCTCAGCCTCTCTGAGTCTTTCTGCCCTCTTTCTCTGGGCCCTCAGACCCCAGCCACTCACATAGTCCCTCTCCGGGACTGCAGACCCTCTAATCCCCTACTCCGACTCTCTCTGGCTGGCAGGTCATCTGTTCTGTTACCTGGCTCAGC